TCGCAAACCCGCCGATGAACAGGCCGTCCAAACAAATGTGAGTTGCCTGCCGTGGGCATGAATATTTAACCGTCTTTTGGACAGTGACAGACGGCATGTCCCGTGTGAGGAAACAGGAGAAATGCATCAGCGTTTGGCGATCGACACTTTGTGTAATCACCGCTATTCACACCTTTCTTTTTTTTTTCTGCTTCTTTGGTCCTAAATCCGTTATCTTCTGTGACAGCAGAAGTAAACATACATAATATACATACAGGTCTTAAGACAAAGTCTTGTCAGCTGTTACCTCTCGTATCCCGTAGCACATCCTTCCTCTCTCTCTCTCTCTCTCTCTCTCTCTCTCTCTCTCTCTCTCTCTCTCTCTCTCTCTCTCTCTCTCTCTCTCTCTCTCCCTCCCTCCCTCACCTCCCCGTCTACCATTCATCCAACCACTGAGCGAGCCATCTATCTGTCTATGTATCTACCTACCTGCCTGCCTGTCTAGAAGAAGAAGAAGAAATGGGAGGAGGACGAAAATGAGGAGAAGGCGGAGGAGCAGGATAGGACAAAGGAGAAGAAGGAGGAGGAGGAGGACGGGGAGGAGGAGGAGGAGCAGCAGCAGCAGCAGCAGCAGCAGAAGAAGAAGAAGAAGAAGAAGAAGAAGAAGAAGAAGAAGAAGAAGAAGAAGAAGAAGAAGAAGAAGAAGAAGAAGAAGAAGAAGAAGAAGAAGAAGAAGAAGAAGAAGAAGAAAAAGAAGAAGAAGAAGAAGAAGAAGAAACACGTAACTGTTATAGAAGACAGCAAGAACATTAGACTGTTGCTGGAAACACCCAGAAACGAAGCGCGCGATTGTTGATGAGTCAAAAACAAGTGGTCAACTGAGCGATCTCTTCTTCTCCTTCGTCTGGCCCACTGGCAGGCAATTCTCTCTATCTAGTTAATCTCCCGCGGGTTGTCGGCGCCAGCGGCCAGAACTGCTCGATGGAGATGTTTGGCTCGCCCTTCTCCTTCATTAGAGAGCAATCAAGGAAAGGTCAGAGAACTAGGGGGCGAGAAAGTCGTGGTTCTGTCACAGACTAATGTTGTTTGTTACGTTTTTGTTACTCACACACACACATACATAGAGGAACAAAGCCAGACTCCTGTAATTATCCAGGGCGTTTGTAGCTATAATTCTGTATGTGTGTGCGTCGCGGGCAAGAAGGGGGATTTCAAAGAGTGTCCGCGCGGGTCTGTGTATGTGAACAGTGGAGTACCCAAAGAAACCGGAAACTAAAGAAAAGGAAGTCTATATGTTGTGGCAAAAAGACATATGTTCAGTGGCGAGGAGGAAGAGAAAGAAGGGGGAAAAAAGAAGAAGAGGAACCAGAACAGGAAAAATGAGAAAAGAAAGGGCGAAAAGCTAATTAATTTTCATTTCTTCTTCTTCTTCTTCTTAGCGTTAAACTTCTGCAAAGTGAATCCGACAGTTCTGGTTGTTCATCCACTTCAGGACTTTGGACTTGTTCCATAATTGGCCTATTTGTAAACAAACTGTTGGTCTTTCGCCACTCAGACAGAGGCATTCTGACTTCGAAGGAAACTCCTAATTAGTCAGATTTTACGTCATGCATGTTAGGGTGTCAGTGAGTTTACTCTGCACGCCCCCCCCCCCTTTTTTTTTTTTCACTCCCCCAACCACCCAAATGGAGGCACACGGGTAATTTGTACCCCATCAGAATTAAAGTTGGCGGCGTCCGTGTCTTAGACGTTGCGAGTCCGACTCGTAATTCCAACGTACCCCGATCGAAACTGTGTGAATTTTTATCATGGTATGGGGCGTCGCAGGTCGACCCAGCTTAAAATGGGTTCCAGGACGTATTTCCTGGGAAAGTAAAGACGGCCGGCGCAATGCTGACCACATTACCCACCTAGTGCCGATTGGTCTGTAAAAACATGGGTGCTCTTCCCATATGCCTAACAGATGTGAAAAGCAATGTTGCCACTTTCGATGTTTTGCATCCAGATTTAGATGTTTTTCCTTGCATTTAGATGACGTTTTTGACGTTATATGGTAGATGTTTTTCTAGATGTTTTTATTTGGAGTGAATTTATCAAATCAAACCTGGGTAACAAGGATGAAATTTGACCTCTTAAATGCTATCTTGACAATAAAATTCGGCCTGAAAAGAGTAAGAAAAGGCTGTTCCACTTATCAGCTCCCTGATTATGTATTAAAAGAAATTGGAACAGCTAAAGCATACCAGAGTCATTTTGGATCTGAAGCTTCAACTTCATCATCCAAGCTAAGTTTATCCGGTGGATCTTGTAAGGCAGACTTCAGTAAAGATGAGGACATGATTCTATAGGGTAAGTCATTTCAATTGCTTTGTAATTTGTGAGTTTCCATTTGGATGTTTTTTCTAGATGTTTTTAATCCAAATGTAGATGTTTCTAGATATATTTTTTACACCGTTTTGGATGTGTGTGTTTTTTTCGAAGAAAAGTGGCAACACTGGTGAAGAGGGGTTAGCTTACTTTACTTACAGAATTAAAGTTGGCAAGTTAGTCCCCAATTCTCCTGGCCGCATCCTTCCTTCCTTCTCCCTGACTAGCCAGCACCAATCTGCCCGCCTTATTCCCGAGAAACCGTTTTACATAACGGCTTCTTCAAATCACCATGACTCCCACACGGAAATATCTGACCGTTATGAAGTCGTTACTTAATTAGATCTGACCCATCGACCCCCCTTGGGGGGGCAGAGCCCGGTGTCGAGTGACCTGGGTCATCAATACACGCCCGTTCTTTATTTTCTGAGGGAAATCTATGGGGGCATGGGGGAAGAAGGGTTGTCAAGAGTCGTTTAAGGTGAAGTCGAAAGCAATGGTAGCTTCCTTGTTCCGCTTTCTTCTAACGACTTGTCTTCTTCTCCTCCGTCTTCTTCTTCTTCTTTTTCTTCTTCTTCGTTTTCTTCTTCTTTTTCTTCTTCTTCTTCTTCTTCTTCGTCTTCTTCTTCTTTCCCCCGTCGAAGCTGTGTTGTTGATGTTGTTGTTATTGCTCATCTTCTTCTTCTCCTTCTTTTACTGCTTTTTCTTCTTATTCTTCTTCTTCTTCTTTTTCTTCTTCTTCTTCTTCTTCTTCTTATTCTTCTTTTTCTTTTTCTTTTTCTTCTTCTTCTTCTTCTTCTTCTTCTTCTTCTTCTTCTTCTTCTTCTTCTTCTTCTTCTTCTTCACATCCACACTTTGTTCTTCTTCTGATTTCCATCCACGCTTTCTTCTTCTTCTTCTTCTTCTTCTTCTTCTTCTTCTTCTTCTTCTTCTTCTTCTTCTTCTTCTTCTTCTTCTTCTTCTTCATCTTCTTCTTCTTCTTCTTCCCATAGCTTTCTTCTTTCTTTTTCTTCTTCTTCTTCTTCATTTTCTCCACTTTAAATTTTTTTGTTTGCCCTAGCATCTTCTTTGTCCTCTTCTTCTCTTTCCTTAATTACCTTAGTAAAGTGATGAGGAGAGTTCGGGGTGGGAGGTGAACAGATCGACTGCCGGTGGTTCTGTGCACTGTGCTGAGCTTCTTCAGACTCAGACCTGAGTTGGAACGAGAACGCAGCACTTATGGGTTACTACCCGTGTGATATGATGTTGTTCTGTTGTTCACAACCTCAAACCTCAGTCCGTCTCCGCTTCTCCCTCCCTCAGTCCGTCTCCCCTTCTCTCTCCCTTGTCGCCTTTGTGAATCTGCTTCCCTCCCCAGTGCTACTGTGATCAGTGACCAGAACATATCTGCAAGTCAAATCAATCAACGGACTCACTTTTCGATTGGACCTCGGCTAATCAACGGGGCGCTGTCCCCCTAATTTAATCTACCAGTCGTAACACGGTTACATCTGTGTTGCCATTCTCCTTTTCTTTTTCTTTTAGCCAGAACGCGTATAAACTGATGGGCCAAATTAACAAGTATTGATCAGCTCTCTTATAACAGGACAGAAGGTCGAGGCAACTTAGTTGACAGGGCAGGAAGGAATATCAGTGGCTATGTAAAGGCGGTGCACAGTGAATTTTCTCACCACCGCAAAAAAAAAAAAAAGCAAGCGATAGGACGTTGGGCATTTCGGTCGCCGTATAGTCGCTTTTAGCTTCTTTATCCACGTGTGGGCCCCACTTAAGGGGGGGGGAAGGGGGGGGGGCAGAACCCTAACTCCCCATCCCTTAAATTTCTCCAAGCATGTCGTAAAGAACGATAATCAGGAGTTTGCTGAAATCGGAGGTGTTGAGCCTAAAAGTGCTCAGCCTAGCCGTGAACTACAACAATACAACGTATCAGCCGCCATTTAGATAGCAAATAGCGAAAAACATGAATACAACGTGTCTCTGTAAAGGTGAGCTACTAGCACAGTGGGGTGTGTGTGGTTGTGGACTGCAGTCTTTCTCTCTCTCTCTCTCTCTCTCTCTCTCTCTCTCTCTCTCTCTCTCTCTCTCTCTCTCTCTCTCTCTCTCTCTCTCTCTCTCTCTCTCTCTCTCTCTCTCTGTAACAGTGTGTGTCTTATCCTTCTTGTTGTGACCGGCAGTAAACTCCGGCGAAAATTCCACCTCTAGGTCTTGTTCCAAAACCTTTTCACACATCTGGCTTATTTGTATGCAGACTATTGGTTCTTGCCTCTCATGCAGATGTACTCCGACTTCAAAGGATACTTCCCCCCCCCCCCTCCAGTTAGTCGACTGCTAGGACATGCTTCTTGGGGAAAGCAGTGTGTCCATTCTAGTTTTTCCTTCACAATGGGAGGCTGTAACCCACACAATGGAGGGCAAGAGGGGGAAAGAGGAGAGTTCTTCGCACCCTGGCTTGAGTTAGAAGTTGAACGAAGCACTTTAGGGTTGCTACTCGTGTGCCATGATTTTGACCCGTTGTTCCAAGCAACCGCAAAACACCACAAACACGCATAACACACTGACCCATGGACACAGAGAAACAGGACAAACACGCATAACACACTGACCCATGGACACAGAGAAACAGGACAAACAACAAGTGGAAAACACGCATAACTTACAAGCGAATTTCGGGTCATCCTCTCGCATTGACCAGAAACAATGGTCAAAGGCAAAAGTCTGAAAAGAAAAAACAGAAACATGTTCACTCCGTGGTTGACCAACAAGTAGGTAGTTTCTATCAACAGTTAGTCCCCGGGTGCTCTCCGACTAAACTCTGTTCCTCTGGGCAGGTATTCCAGTCGACAAGTCTCCCAGTGACCGGATCTCCCAGTGACCGGATCTCCCAGTGACCGGATCTCCCAGTGACCAGATATTTCAGTGACCAGATATCCCAGTGGCCGGATCTCCCAGTGACCACACCTCCCAGTGACCAGATCTCCCAGTGACCAGATCTCCCAGTGACCGGATCTCCGAGTGACCAGATCTTCCAGTGACCAGATCTCCCAGTGACCAGGTCTCCCAGTGACCAGATCTCCCAGTGACCAGATCTCAAAGTGACCAGATCTCCCAGTGACCTGATCTCCCAAAGACCGGATCTCCCAGTGACCGGATCTCCCAGTGACCAGATCTCCCAGCGACCAGATCTCCCAGTGACCGGATCTCCAAGTGACCGGATCTCCCAATGACCGGATCTTCCAGTGACCAGATCTTCCAGTGACCAGATCTCCCAGTGACCAGATCTCCAAGTGACCAGATCTCCCAGTGACCAGATCTCTCAGTGACCAGATTTCCCAGTGACCAGATCTCCCAGTGACAAGATCTCCCAGTGACCAGATCTCCCAGTGACCGGATCTCCGAGTGACTAGATCTCACAGTGACCAGATCTCCCAGTGACCAGATCTCACAGTGACTAGATCTCCCAGTGACCATGTCTCCCAGTGACCATGTCTCCCAGTGACCAGATCTCACAGTGACCAGATCTCACAGTGAACAGATCTATCACTAAGGTGATATGCCAGTGAACAGATTGTCCAGTTATAAGAGCAGGTCTCTGTCTGAGCTAATGTCCCAAATGACCAGGACGGTCACTTAGTAAGTCAACTAGTGAACAGGTTTCCCGGTGAAGATGTCTCCCAGTCAACAGGTCTCCTCATGACCACGACTATGATTGAGCAGGGCTTCCCATTAAACAGGTCTCCTAATGACCAAAACAGGTCTCTCTCTCTCTCTCTCTCTCTCTCTCTCTCTCTCTCTCTCTCTCTCTCTCTCTCTCTCTCTCTGTGTGTGAACTGGTTTCCCACGAACCAGGTGTCCCACTGACCAGGTATGCAAATGACCAGGCCAATGACCAGGTCTCCTAAAGACCATGTCTCCCAATGACCTGGCCTCCCAATGACCTGGTCTCCTAATGACCTGGTCTCCTAATGACCTGGTCTCCCAATGACCTGGCCTCCCAATGACCTAGTCTCCCAATGACCAGGTATCCTAATGACCAGGTCTCCTAATGACCTGGTCTCCTAATGACCTGGTCTCCTAATGACCTGGTCTCCTAATGACCTGGTCTCCCAATGACCTGGTCTCCCAATGACCTGGTCTCCTAATGACTTGGTCTCCCAATGACCTGGCCTTCCAATGGCCTGGCCTCCCAATGACCTGGCCTCCCAATGACCTGGCCTCCCAATGACCTGGCCTCCCAATGACCTGGCCTCCCAATGACCTGGCCTCCCAATGACCTGGTCTCCCAATGACCTGGTCTCCCAATGAACTGGCCTCCCAATGACCTGGCCTCCCAATGACCTGGCCTCCCAATGACCTGGCCTCCCAATGACCTGGCCTCCCAATGACCTTGCCTCCCAATGACCTGGCCTCCCAATGACCTGGTCTCCCAATGACCTGGTCTCCCAATGACCTGGTCTCCCAATGACCTGGCCTCCCAGTGACCAGATCTCTCAGTGACCAGATTTCCCAGTGACCAGATCTCCCAGTGACAAGATCTCCCAGTGACCAGATCTCCCAGTGACCAGATCTCCCAGTGACCGGATCTCCGAGTGACTAGATCTCACAGTGACCAGATCTCCCAGTGACCAGATCTCACAGTGACTAGATCTCCCAGTGACCATGTCTCCCAGTGACCATGTCTCCCAGTGACCAGATCTCACAGTGACCAGATCTCACAGTGAACAGATCTATCACTAAGGTGATATGCCAGTGAACAGATTGTCCAGTTATAAGAGCAGGTCTCTGTCTGAGCTAATGTCCCAAATGACCAGGACGGTCACTTAGTAAGTCAACTAGTGAACAGGTTTCCCGGTGAAGATGTCTCCCAGTCAACAGGTCTCCTCATGACCACGACTATGATTGAGCAGGGCTTCCCATTAAACAGGTCTCCTAATGACCAAAACAGGTCTCTCTCTCTCTCTCTCTCTCTCTCTCTCTCTCTCTCTCTCTCTCTCTCTCTCTCTCTCTCTCTCTCTCTCTCTCTGTGTGTGTGTGTGTGTGTGTGTGAACTGGTTTCCCACGAACCAGGTGTCCCACTGACCAGGTATGCAAATGACCAGGCCAATGACCAGGTCTCCTAAAGACCATGTCTCCCAATGACCTGGCCTCCCAATGACCTGG